GGCTTTGGACACATCACATTTGAGCCATCTCACACGTTCATCAGAAAATTCAGGCTCGCTTCGAGACAAGATTGTCACATGTCCGGCTCCTCGACCCAAAAGCCAGTGCACACAGCTTTCACCAAGAGCGCCGCTGCCGCCAGTGACTACATATCGGCCTCCCTTGCGAATAGCATCTCTTGCGACAGAGCCATCTGGAACCCACTTCTGCAGCCGCGGTGCTTCCAGGACACCATCCACTACACGACAAATAGGATCTTCAGAGATCAGTGGCAGTTTCGTCTCTGCCAGGATGGACCTCACCGATTCCCATGTAGTGGCATTGACATGGACCACCTGATCAACATGAGACATAAACAATCGCAAACGGAGTCCGTCCGATTTGCACACGCACCATTCCATCTACATGATTCTACAACATTCCTGGAACTACATAGTCGCACATGTCTAGAGTCTAGATGATATGACAGTTATATGCCACGCCTGCACATCCAATGGCTGCTCGCACAAGGCGCTGCGAAGCATGCTGGACACTGCACTGAAGCAAGCCTCTGCGAAGGCCCCGTTGCCAGCAACCACAACAAACCAAGTTTCCTTGTTTGCTGCCGCTTGCTGCAAGACACGCAGCATCTCGATAGCTCGAAGCGTCAAGTCCTCTATCTCCTCTTCTTCTGCCTTTGCCTTCCAACAGGGAAGTGCCAAGACATGGCATCCATCGTGATTGGTCATTTTGACTAAGTCCTCTCCAATCTCTCCGCGCGAAATGATGAAGCTCTTCGCGCCATAGCTCAGTCGCTGCCAACCGAGTTGGTACAAATCCTGAGGTTGTCTGTGCACACTCAGACTTCTGGCTGCCAAACCGCGGCAAGAGGCCACAACCTTGCCCGTGCTTGTAACCAGAATCGCATCGCCTTTCATCAATCCCTTCTGGACATCAGTCAATCGAACCCATGCCCTCAATCTGGGCGCTTTGCCTTCAATGGGCACCTTTGAAAGACAACAGCTTTCCAAGCTGAATGGCACGCACATCCCAGCGCGATCTTGACCAAGCGCACCAAGCAATTGGAACGCCCCGTCAAGCAAGCTCCAGTGCGGAAATTGCAGCGCGTGCTCCCACGCCTCGACGTCTGCAGGCAAGGCCAGCTCGGCCACCGCAATTTTGTCATTGCGACGAGCATCCTGGAGTACACGAAAGCGTGGGCCCATCCGAACACCTTGTGATTCCAAGGAATGGTAGAAGTCTTCCAAGTTCACTTCGGCAAAGCTCAGGTCTTCTTTGCTGGGCAAGTCAAAAGGTGCCTTCGGCAACTCACGGCTGTTTACCACAGACGCTGCTTCAACAACGTCATGGCTCCCACAAAGGACAACAGCTCCAGCATCACGTAGGTTCACCTGAAGTTTTGCATCAGAAATCTTTGCTGGTGCCTTGAAGACCACACTCTTCATCTCTATCGTCTCTGCCGTTCCTCCTTGCACTGCCCTGGCACTGGCAAGCATTGCCAGCAGACTTGAAGCCGGCAGCAGGCGGTCTCCTAGTGGCACAGCAAGCCCACATGCCCCTAACCCGGAAAGCTAGTCCAGTCTATCTATGTTTATCTATCTATAGGAACCCAAACCAAAAAAAAAACTTGCAAAGAAAATGGAACCAGAATCCAAACATCCTTGCAACAGCTTGTGACATGACTTTCCGCAAACTCCTGTATACTATACGCGATAACCGATAACCCTCCTGCAACTTCATGGTCGTTGAAAAGGTGGCAAACGTCGTCAAGCTGCACAGCAAAATCTGATTCTCCATCTCTTCTGAGGAGTGGAATGAGCAACCGTCGCCAAGGTAGGAAAGTTTCGGATTTGCTGCGCTTGCCCTTGGCCCAATTGACTGCGCCGGAGCCTGTGGTGCCAGGCATCAAAAGCGCTTGGGCGTTGCTGCCACCGAAACCAAAAGATGACACTGCCCCCGACAAGGTCGCCGTGCCTTGTCTGAGGTCGGCACAGGCTTCGCTCACAATAATGTTGCTGGAGATGTGTTGGTTGAGACACTTCAGATGCAGATTCGGAGGCCCAGCTTTGTTGCGAAGAGTACAAATCAGCTTGAAGAGACCAGCCATACCAGCTGATCCTTCCAAGTGACCCATGTTTGATTTCACAGCTCCACAAACAGGCTTGCCTGACTTGCCAAAAACAGCCATGGTGGAAGCTGCTTCAAGAGGATCACCAAGCTTAGTTCCAGTACCGTGAAGCTCCACAACATCCACTGTCTGCAAAGAAGCCAAGGCCAAACTTGTTCGAAAGAGGTTCTCCTGCGCCTTCCCATTTGGAGCGGTGAGGCTGGCACTTCGCCCATCATGATTGGTTGCCACACTAAGAATTTCGGCAACCTTGGCATCTGCACTGGGCTGCAAAATCAGAGCTCCTACTCCCTCACCTCTGCAATATCCGTCAGCGGATGCATCAAGGGTCAGGCAGCGGCCAACTTTGGACAGCATCTTTGCTGCGCAAGATCCAATGAATGGCACAGGGCTCAGGATCACATGGGTGCCACCTACCAAAGCTTGAGAGCTTGGCAATCTCATCGCTGTAGCAAGCGCGACAAGGCTGGACGAGCAAGCTGTATCAATCGTCACGCTAGGCCCCTTCAAGTTCAGGAGGAAGCTAAGGCGATTGGCAGTGATCGCAGGGGATACAGCAGTGCCCATGAACGATGTAGCTAGGTGATCTTGGAATGACCAGTCATGATTGGCTTTGCCCACAACAACGGCAGCATCAGACCTTTCCAAGGCTTTGCAATTCGCCGAGACAGCTGTGTCCAAGAGAAGGCGTTGCTGTGGATCCATGGTCCTGGCCTCTGTTGCATTGATGTTGAAGAAGTTGCCAAACCACTCAACACCATCCATACAAGCTGCATGCTTCGTGTACGTCATACCCTCAGCCTCGATATCTGGAGAATAGTACACATCAAGATCCAGTCTGGCAAATGGTACACCTGTCACACAATCCAACCCTTGAAGCATACTGTCAAGGCCGAAACAGAACGGAAGCAAAGAGCTTGCTGAGACAAGAGCCATTTCATTGGTGAGCCCCACGGGCAATGCTTTCGAAGTTGTCTCTACAAGACCATGTTTTGTCATGCCCCTTTTGATCCTGTCCGCAATGGCACCGAGTGTCGGGCAATCAAATACAATAGTCACTGGCAACACTTGCCCAAATTCTCGGCTGAGGCGGCGGGCAAACTCCACTGCCAAGAGTGAATCCATGCCAGCATCCATCAAAGGCTCTTCTGCGCTGACTTCATGCCCCAGCATGGTTTCAGTGAGGTTCTTCAGTGTAGTCACCACTGCCTTATTGCCAGACAATGCGTTGCAGAAAGAAACATTCGACATCACAACGAAACCTGAACCAATTCGAATGGGCTGAAATCAGTGGGGATGGTGAAACATGCAGCACATCTATAGCGAAAGATGTCGACCGCGTATTACGTTGCTTTCACGGGCTGGAAACCACAAGGGACAAGTTTGGGAGACAGGACAAAACGGACGAGGTTTAATAAAAGGATACACTTTAGCAGGCCACAGCAACCCATGAGTACAGAGCATGGTTTACAAATGTGACTTGCAGCAGTCTAGCGCCGGCGCTGGCATACAGGCCTTTCAAGAGCATAGTCCACTGTATATATATACACATATTAAAGGTAAATTGCGAACTCTTCCTTGACACAAAAAGGGCTGCGAGTGCATTCTGCGATGCTGGAAATGCTATACACCTAGACTGCGATCTGCGTTGAAATTGTTTACACACTCCTTCTTGGTAGTGTGAGCGCTCGAATTTCTTTCCTAGCTCACTCTGCCACCATAAGTTTCTCTACTTCCATGTTTTCTCTCAATTTGTTTTCCTCTAAAGAACGGGGTTCCTTGAGGTCCTTGGCGCAGGTCTATCTGGATTGTCTCTTCTCATTACTGCACATTCTAGCAACTCTTCATACTTCTCCTTCTCATTCTCAACTTGATCTGCTACATCTTGTAGTCCTCTTCCTAACACTCCTAACAGGTCCCAATGTCTTTCACTTAGTTGTTCAATCTTTGTTTCAAGTCGGCCGCACATATGTATTGCTTGCTCTACCTCATTTTTCATTTGTTCTTATTTCCTGTTTTCAATCTTCTGTTCAATGGGCCTTATGATGGGATGATGGGGTGGCTCCATCTAAGGGCGCCTGCAACATCACACGATGACCCTGAAATTGGCCTGCTGTTTGTTGTTCTCGTATCTTCCAAGCTCCTTCTGGCTAAGAAGTTTCCTGCGTTCATCTCACCCAATACATCATAACTGATTACAGTTTGAAGATCTGGTACTTGTCGCTCCACAAAGCCTCCATTGAGAATCAATGGGGAACGTCTATTCTTCTTTCATGGTCTTCATTCTCTCTGATCATACTCTCAAGTTGTACCATTCTAAATTCTGCTTCGTCTGTTCTGAAACGAGTAGTTTCCATCGCGTATTCACAGCGGGTCTCAATATGCTTCTAAAGCTTCCACATTCAAAAAATCACTCCTGCAAAACCCATGCTTCATCATGATGGCCACAATGAACAATTTTTTCAGCTTTCATTGGATTCTTCCACTTCTTCCAATCCACACTGGTCGTCTTCCTCTTCTTTCATGAATGCTTCTGTAACCATTGGCGGCGAGCACTCAAATGCTACCATTCTCACAATCATCTTGGCAATCTTGTGGGCCTTTCCTGCAAAGTTCTTTTTCTCCTCATACACCTGTCTCTCACGCTCACCTACTCTTGTTTGCTCTTCACTGCGCCAATACCCAATGAGGTTCATCAAGTATCTGCTTCCTTGTAAGTGGCTTTGTACTGATGTCTGCCATGTTGCTACCTGTTGGCACTTGCACCATATTGAACTCTTTCCTGTTCTGAATCCATAGCAACTTTCCATCCAAATGTCTCACCTTTCCAACTCCCCTCATCACCACAAGTTGGCGCGCACTTGAAGAATCTGCGAAGATATGATGGTCCACCATTGTCCCATGCCCAAACTCAAAAACTGAGCGAGTGTAGATACCATCTGTTGCAGAGGAAACTACTGCGCGTAACCCTGCTTCACATGAAGATAAGCTAATGATCTTCTGTGTCCTACTGCTGTTGAACAATGGGCAACTGTTCAACGCATGAAGTCCTCCTGACGTTGACTTTCTGTGGCTTTTGTTTCCACTCCAGTCTGAATCTGAAAATGTTTCCAAGCACCAATAGCTTTCCCCTTCCTTCACATAGCCTTCTCCTGCCTGTGGAAATTCAACTGCTAGACAATAGTCCATAGTCTTCTTCAAGTATCCTGGGAACTTCTTCAAATGGTGAAATGACATAGCTGTTGGGTTTGACACTCTTGAAGCTAATTCCTTCACTGTAAACGCTGCATCATACCTTTCTTGGCGTAGGTAGATACCTGATCCAATGTTTCTGAATAGGCTAACCTTCTCTTGCTCACGCAGAACTTCTGATTTGTCTTCCATCTGAATTGAGCTGCCTGGTGGTAGTTGCTGGAATTTGATCTTCCCATCTGCTCTTCATAGGCTGCTGGATGTAGTTACCTGGCTGGATCCATAGTCCATCTTTCTCTAGTTTGTACTCCTCAGGAAGCTGAACTCATCACCAGTCTTCTTAATTTTGCTCAAGCTGGTGTCAAACCTGTCTTGAATCTTTGGAAGAAAGGTTTCATTGATGTACTCTGAACAACCTGTGAAAATCAAGCCATCCACATGGATCAAAATGATACTCTTCTCATTTCTTCCCAGGCATGGGCACTCAGCGCTGAACCTGTAATTGAGTTCCTCGGTGAGGTACTCTGTGAAAAGTCAAACCACGCTTTTTCTCCAACTCTTTGTCCATGTAAATTTCTCTTCGCTAAGAATTCTTTCCTCTCAAGTTTACCTTCAACGGCTTCTCTTGTGGAACTTGCAAAAACGCATCTTTCACATCAAGACATCCCAGAATCTGGGAAAATGCTACTTCTCCCGCTCTTGCTTCTTCCTCCTCGCTAACTCTCTGCAAGAAGATTGTGAGTACATATCCTGAAGTCGCTGGTAAGGAAACGGCATCTCTCTTTCCTTCAGCAAAAGCAAATTCTCTTGCAACTAGTCTTGATCTTTTCTTCTACCTCTTGGTTGTTGTTCCATCTTCATGGTGGTACGGTTTCTTTCTCCAGTCATACACATTGCGCGTTGTTGAGAAACTGATTCCTGCGCCACCTTCTGGTCTCTCTAGCCCTTCTTGTTCTGGTTCATGTTCTCCATTACGCCATAACATTCAAGTCCATTCACTTCCTCTTCTTCTTCTTCTTCAACCCCTTCTTCTCCCCAGTCCTCTTCATCAACTTTTTCTGCAAGTGGGGATAGCTCTTCATCTACATGATAAAGGTTTTCACCTGCAACTTTCACCACATTGACCTTGGCTTTCTTGCTTGAATCATCTGATGGCCTGAGCTTCTTCATTGGACTTTCTTCCTCGAGCAATCCAAACGCTTCCCTTGGTCTTGAAGGCGCTGACGGCGCTCCCAATGGAGATGGTATAGGAGTAACTGGATTGAGTTGTCCTGCTGGCACCGATGTAGATGGGAGTGATTTCTCCTTCTCAAGCGCCTTCTCATCTGCAAAGACAACTTTCTGCTTCTTACTTGGTGTTTCTTCTCCACTTGGCTTTCTTTCACCTCCATCTCTTTTCATTGTTTCCACAGGGATTTCCAGCGAGGCTGGAACCGGCATTTAGTACCCATTCCAAGCGCGCCGAAATGCGGAGACTGCGCAAGGCGCAAGGAGTGTCAGCTTGTTCACCATGGGTCTATGCTCCTTGGCTCAGATTTCCTTGCAAATTTCTGCCGCAAATTCTCCTCGCGACGCAACGCCGATTGCAAAAGCAATTTCGTCAGACTGCCTCCATCGCGCAGTGGCCGGACTTGAAGCTCAATTGGAGCGCGGCCTAAAACGTGCTCTGCCGTTTTTCAAGATCGTACGCCAGAGCTTGGAGGCAGAAACTTTTTCATAGTGCTTCTCAACGATGTTTACCCTGTATGAAGATTGATACTTTTAGTTTGCTTGCCAAAGTTGTCATCCGCTTTGGTTGCACTCTGAATCACTTCCTCCTTCAAGAGCTTTTGCCGTAACTGCCTCTGCATCTTCATCCTTGGGCTTCAACAATTCTCCTTCCCCATGATCTGCCAAACTCAAAAGGGATAAAGCTACATCAGCTCCACTGTCAATGATGGCCACATCCTCATTCTCTTCCCCAGTCTCCTCACCACGGGTTCATCATCTGAGGTCACCCTCCTCAAATTCCTTGATCTCCCTCTCATCATCAACATCATCATCATCATCATCATCGTCTCCAATGTAGAAATGAATCGCTCGAACTCCATGATCTTCTACCTCATCATCTCCTTCTCGCAAGTCAAAGATGATTCGCTCGCTGGTCTCAATCCTTCTAACCACTGGTTTGGTCTCTGCTGAGCTACTCTGCTGGCTAACATTGGCTTGCTGTTGACCAACTGTATGAGTAGTCACTGATGCTCCTCTGAAGATGAATGGGCCGGATCACTTGCTACCTGTCCAATATTGTTCCTCCATCAGTCTGTAACAATATGTCCTGGCTTTCCACAAGTGTAACACGTTGTCGCACCTGTGCCTTTCTGGTCTTTTTCCTTTCTGATCTCCTTGTCCTTTCTTTCCTTTGCCCTTCGCATCTTTACCTTTGCCTTTCTGATGGTCATTCTTGCCCTTCTTGCCTTTTCCTTTGGCATCTTAGGCTCGATCAATGTCCATTGGCATGGGTCCTTGATAGTCTGTACTGCTACTTGCCACCATTCAAGTAGCCACTTTTGCTGAGAGCGATCCCATTGCAACACTTGTTCCCTCAAAGTTGAGTATTCAACATTGCCGGCTACGCCTCTCAAAAGAATAGCAAATTTCAACTCTTCTTGAATTGCCGTCCCTGCCTTGACCGTCTCGTCAAATACTCCTTCAAGCTTCAGAAGTTGAGGTTGTAGTGCACTGTTCAATTGAAAATGCTGGCCATGTAGTGGCTGCTCCCAAAAGTGCTAATCCTCTAGCTTTGGAAGTAGGTTTCAAAGCTTTGTTTAAACCTCTCCAGGCATCAAATCCATTGGAGTCCTGTAGAGCTTTAACCAATCGCAGCGCTCTTCCACTCATCATTGAAGCTAACAATCCATAGAGCTTGATGCACCTGGTCTTCTCCTCTGTGGTTGCCAAGTCCACATCAAACTTCTCATTTGGCTTTTCATGAATCTCCTTCAAGCCCTTCACGTAGGCCTCATCAACTGCACTCAAATATTTCTCAACTACCCATGACCACTCTCTAAGCGCTTTGACCTCTTCTTCTTGTGACTTATAGTCAAAGATGTTGGGCTTTGCAATGAGCTTGACCAATCAGATGTTGATGACTTCTTGTCCTCAGCTGCTTTCTTCACTGCCTCAGCTGCTGATGTTGTTGCTAGCGTACTCTGCGCTATAACATTGGATCTCATTCATCTCCACAGCGCACGATTGTCTTTCTGACACAACATACGGGGTACAGAGCTTCGCCCACAGCAGTCTATCATCAGTCCAGCTGTTTTGGGCTCCAAAGGGCCCAAATCTATGGCTCGAATCGCACTGGGATCCCTGTGACCTAGAGGCTTTTTCTCTGGAGCTCAAAGGGGGTTCCCCTTATCCATGCTCCTACTATGCGAACTTTTTCCTTTGCACAAAAAGGGCTGCGAGTGCATCCTGTGGTGCTGAAAATGCTATACACCTAGACTGTGATCTCCATTGAAATTGCTACACATAAATGTGTGTATATATTAAATTCTAAAGGTTTTATGCGCGTACCACATCAGGTTACGAAATGTATCGCGCCTCTTTCGGGAACCTGTGGCCAGCGGCTCCGATACTGGCTCAGTGGGTTCCCACCATGCGTTGCATCGCTGAACCCGTGAAGCGTTCGGCCACAGGTGAGAGAAGCTCTCGAGCTCGTTGCCCAAGCAGATCATCTTTTCTTGGGATGGAAAAAAAACATGGGGGTTCTTGGTGGGCACAACTTGAAGCATTGAAGCTCTTGTCCTTGCGAGGTTTGAATGGTCGGTCCTTGACTACAACGGCAGCACTGCGACTGCGCTAAACCCACGTGGTCACGTGGTTGATGTCTCTACTGCGACAAACATGGCAGCACTGCGCTGCAAAAAGGAAGGAAAAGGTTAGCTTAATATTGAACCTGACCCAAGCATCATTTTCTCGTAAATCTAGCGGAGTCTAAAAACAAAACTGAACCTGTGTGGACCCACTTGCTACGGTACTTTACGCCATCCTGTGATGCGACTGATGTGCACACCAGAGATCTAAGAATCCAAGACATTGGATTCTGAAGCGTCCTGGTAGTACTCACTCATCGCCACTTAAACTTCTAGACCGTTCAACTCGAAACACTCAAAGGCACCTGGTCTATGATTTGAAGGTGAATCACGACAAAAAAAACGATTGGCTACCTCAGGACGGGGCCGATTGCGGGAACGGTTCTGATCTGGCAAGTTCTGACTTGGAAACAAATCTCTTGGCCGGCGCAAAGTTGGAGGTCAAACTGGAATGGCTAGGCCACTGGAAGCGCTCCCAAGCTACTGAAACTGCAGAGATGACTCCTCCAGCACCACTCCGAACAAGGTGTTCTAAAATTGCAACGCCTTGGTCGTTGCTCCACGCGCCAAAGCCGAAATCCCTTGCGCGCCTCAAAGCCTTCTCGTTCGCTGCCATGCCAGCTTCCTTCCAGGGGCCCCATTGAACGCTGAGCATCCTGGTACCTTGAGAACGCACGGCAAATGCGCAATAGCCATCAAGGGCTGCGTTTGCTGCCGAATAAGGCACCTGACCAGGGCTTCCCAGCACCGCAGCAACCGATGAAAAGAAGACGACAAAGTCTGTTGGTTCCAGCAACTTGGGCAACAGCAAGGCAGCCAACACCTTGGGGCCAAAAGCCATGCGGATGTTCTGCTGTGTCTGCTCAGCCAACATCTTATCAGCCAACACCCCAGCAGCGTGAACGATGCCGTTGACATCTTGGGAGTCTTTGCATTTTGCAGCTGTGGCTTTCAAATCAGCGGCTTTGGACACATCACATTTGAGCCATCTCACACGTTCATCAGAAAACTCAGGCTCGCTTCGAGACAAGATCGTCACATGTCCAGCTCCTCGACCCAAAAGCCATTGCACACAGCTTTCACCAAGAGCACCGCTGCCGCCAGTGACTACATATCGGCCCCCCGTGCAAATAGCAGCTCTTGTCACAGAGCTGTCCGGAATCCACTTCTGCAGCCGCGGTGCTTCCAGCACACCATCCACTACACGACAAACAGGATCTTCAGAGATCAGTGGCAGTTTCGTCTCTGCCAGGATGGACCTCACCGATTCCCATGTAGTGGCATTGACATGGACCACCTGATCAACATGAGACATAAACAATCGCAAACGGAGTCCGTCCGATTTGCACACGCACCATTCCATCTACATGATTCTACAACATTCCTGGAACTACATAGTCGCACATGTCTAGAGTCTAGATGATATGACAGTTATATGCCACGCCTGCACATCCAATGGCTGCTCGCACAAGGCGCTGCGAAGCATGCTGGACACTGCACTGAAGCAAGCCTCTGCGAAGGCCCCGTTGCCAGCAACCACCACAAACCAAGTTTCCTTGCTCGCCGCTGCTTGCTGCAAAATCCGCAGCATCTCGATAGCTCGAAGCGTCAAGTTTTCTATCTCCTCTTCTTCTGCCTTTGCTGTCCAACAGGAGATTGCCAACATGTTTGCTCCTTGACTAGTATCTATGAAAACGGGCTCCAAGCAATGAAGACCCGCAGGTCCTGTCAAGGAGATCTGATTGGTGACCTTAGCCCCTACTCTTTCCCACCTCGTGGCATAGGTCCAAGCAGCCGCGCTTGACCATGCGAAATGGCCTCCCAAGTCATGGGGTTTGCTCGAAGGCTTGCCTCTGGTGCCAGGCATCAAAAGCGCTTGGGCATTGCTGCCACCGAAACCAAAAGATGACACTGCCCCCGACAAGGTTGCCGTGCTTTGTCTGAGATCGGCACAGGCTTCGCTCACAATAATGTTGCTGGAGATGTGTTGGTTGAGACACTTCAGATGCAAATTCGGAGACCCAGCTTTGTTGCGAAGAGTACAAATCAGCTTGAAGAGACCAGCCATACCAGCTGATCCTTCCAAGTGACCCATGTTTGACTTCACAGCTCCACAAACAGGCTTGCCTGACTTGCCAAAAACAGCCATGGTGGAAGCTGCTTCAAGAGGATCACCTAGCTTAGTTCCAGTACCGTGAAGCTCCACAACATCCACTGTCTGCAAAGAAGCCAAGGCCAAACTTGTTCGAAAGAGGTTCTCCTGCGCCTTCCCATTTGGAGCGGTGAGGCTGGCACTTCGCCCATCATGATTGGTTGCCACACTCAGAATTCCAGCGACCTTGGCATCTGCACTGGGCTGCAAAATCAGAGCTGCTACGCCCTCACCTCTGCAATATCCGTCAGCGGATGCATCAAGGGTCAGGCAGCGGCCAACTTTGGACAGCATCTTTGCTGCGCAAGATCCAATGAATGGCACAGGGCTCAGGATCACATGGGTGCCACCTACCAAAGCTTGAGAGCTTGGCAATCTCATCGCTGTAGCAAGCGCGACAAGGCTGGACGAGCAAGCTGTATCGATCGTCATGCTAGGCCCCTTCAAGTTGAGGAGGAAGCTAAGGCGATTGGCAGTGATCGCAGGGGATACAGCAGTGCCCATGAACGATGTAGCTAGGTGATCTTGGAATGACCAGTCATGATTGGCTTTGCCCACAACAACGGCAGCATCAGACCCGTCCAAGGCTTCGCAATTCGCCGAGACAGCTGTGTCCAAGAGAAGGCGTTGCTGTGGATCCATAGTCCTGGCCTCTGTTGCATTGATGTTGAAGAAGTTGCCAAACCACTCAACACCATCCATACAAGCTGCATGCTTCGTGTATGTCATGCCCTCAGCCTCGATATCCGGGGAAAAGTACGCATCAAGATCCAGTCTGGCAAATGGTACACCTGTCACACAATCCAACCCTTGAAGCATACTGTCAAGGCCGAAACAGAACGGAAGCAAAGAGCTTGCTGAGACAAGAGCCATTCCATTGGTGAGCCCCACGGGCAATGCTTTCGAAGTGGTCTCTCCAAGACCATGTGTTGTCATGCCCCTTTTGATCCTGTCCGCAATGGCACCGAGTGTCGGGCAATCAAATACAATGGTCACTGGCAACACTTGCCCAAATTCTCGGCTGAGGCGGCGGGCAAACTCCACTGCCAAGAGTGAATCCATCCCAGCATCCATCAAAGGCTCTTCTGCGCTGACTTCATGCCCCAGCATGGCTTCAGTGAGGTTCTTCAGTGTAGTCACCACTGCCTTATTGCAGGACAATATGTCTTCCACACCGCCTTTTGATGGAATGTCATTTAAACAGAACTCGCAGCACGGGGCTCGCAGCTTTTGGGTTAACTCGCAAGTTCGAACAGCGGGCGCAACTGTGACGGACGGCTCGAAGGTCTTCGGCTCGAAGTTCGATGCTTTTTTGAGCGGCTGCGAAGTTAAGAGGACTTGGATAGGATGGATGGGTTGGGATTTATCAAGTTTGGGGGAGAAGGCTGATTGCAAGCGGTTCTTGTCTTTGCACTAAGGAGTTCCTTTGACAGATTTGACGTCTTCACACGAACTTCCAGCAAGGTGTTGATGTCACTCGATGAGGAGCGTGACGCATTGTTTTTGCACGTTGAAGGTTGAAGGCCAAAATGACATAGCCCAACGGTAATGTTGAGTATGCTGAGTAAGCTTTCAAAAGTAGGTAGTAGCTAATGAAGCTTAAGTGGGCCTGGGGGTGGAGGGAGTTTCCGTGAAGAAGCCTAAGCTTGGATGCTGTGGTTCCTAGAATTTTGTGGAAACTTGAGTCTGAAAGCAAGACGGCAAGGCTTTCTTGTTTGTCTTTTTGGAATGCTCTGTTCAATCGTCAACCGCCCAACAACCTAGTACGAGTACGAGCCTCTTTTCTAGCAGTTCATTCACGTCGTTTCCACAAGTTTGCTGAAGAATTCTGAGGCGTCTTCTCAAAGAACGTCTCTTCACAAACTCTGTTTGCGAACTTCAACTTCAACTCGCAAGCACACTGGGACCAACCTGCATGAAGAGACCTGGAAGGGACGCATACAGCAGACCTACACGCTATGCTTCAAGACACCGTCAGAAAGGTCGACAAGGCCTTTGTAGAGTCCAGCCTATCACGCAAAAGAGGGGGGGCTGTCAATTTCCCTCAATCCACCACAGACCGCTCTGGACTTCGTCGACCCAAAGAGATGAGCCGTACCAGGACCAGGTGAGCCGCTGAAGCAGCCACCGCCGGTGAACCAAAAGCTTGTATATTAGCATTGAGATCGTTAGTACTTCAACGCCGGTGTTCGGAGATGTGGCCGGCCGACCGCTGCGTAAACTGCATTGACCTCAAAAACACGCAAATCTTGTATAGTACAAAATCAGTCTTGATGGGAAATGAAACACAGCTGCAAAGACACGGAAGCCCCATTCCTTAACCGCACCTTAGGAAAGGAATCTGTCTGGAAATGCAATCCTACCACCAAAGAAGCTTTTCATGTGAAACAAAGTGAGACCTCAAGAAGAAGGCGCTTGCCACAGAGTTCACTTGACATGCAATCGAGTTAGTCACGCGCGCAACGTCGTGGGGAGCAATGTTTTGTCGAACCTTCGACTCACGTTCTGTCGAACTTAACGAGAACAAGTCCGTGTCCTCTGACTCTACAAATGCCACGAAAACACCATAAACAAAAGGGAAAATGAGCACGAACAAAACAAAGTTGGAAGACTTATAGAACAACACAGCCTGCGCCAAAGACTTGCATAGAGTATCATAGATTCTTCAAGTGCATCAACAGGCGGCTTGTCACTGAGCTGCTTTTAACACGATTGCAAACACACGGCTGCTTGTTGAGCGATTGCGTGTCAACAATTTGGTTTCTTCAGGCGTAATTGCATGTTGCTGCTTTGGAAGAGCGGCATCCGTTCCCTCCAATACCTGGCGCCACATTCCCGCTTTTGCTAAGTCACTGCTTCGGCCGTTCAGCCAACACCTAAACAAGTGGCCATATTGCCAAGCAACTTAGATCCCCCAAAACCACTGTAGCGCTTCACGTTTCGTCGTTGGACCTGCCGCTTCTGATGCATGACTTGAATATGAGTGAGGCATGTCATGTCACAATAAAAAACAAGATTGGCTACCTCAGGACGGGGCCGTTTGCGAGAACGGTTCTGATCTGGCAAGTTCTGACTTGGGAACAAATCTCTTGGCCGGCACAAAGTTGGAGGTCAAACTGGAATAGCTAGGCCACTGGAAGCGTTCCCAAGCTACTGAAACTGCAGAGATGACTCCTCCAGCACCAATCCGAACAAGATCTTCCAAAATTGCAAAGCCTTGGTCGTTGCTCCACGCGCCAAAGCCGAAATCACTTGCGCGCCTCAAAGCCTTCTCGTTCGCTGCCATGCCAGCTTCCTTCCAGGGGCCCCATTGAATGCTGAGCATCCTGGATCCTTGAGAGCGCACGGCAAATGCGCTATAGCCATCAAGGACTGCGTTTGCTGCCGAATAAGGCACCTGACCAGGGCTTCCCAGCACCGCAGCAACCGATGAAAAGAAGACGACAAAGTCCGTTGGTTCCAGCAACTTGGGCAAAAGCAAGGCAGCCAAGACCTTGGGGCCAAAAGCCATGCGGATGTTCTCCTCTGTCTGCTCAGCCAACATCTTATCAGCCAACACCCCAGCAGCGTGAATGATGCCGTTGACATCTTGGAATTCTTTGCATTTTGCAGCTGTGGCTTTCAAATCAGCGGCTTTGGACACATCACATTTGAGCCATCTCACACGTTCATCAGAAAA